CGCTGGGGCGACCCAAAGCAGCCAAAAGGAGAATTTGGTCCAGCAGCACGATCATGTCAAAAGTTTGAATTGGTTTATGACATCCTTGTTAGCTGTACAGTTTGTTTGCTGCTAATTAGCGAATGTTAGCATGTTAACATGTTGAAATAAAAGGATAACAATGTATTTACACCTGCTATTAAACATTGGCATGGTGACATTAGCATTTAGTACTACCATACCAGTACTTACAATTATTGAAAAGCTACAGTAGCTACAGTATATCGCTGTTATTTTTTGACAACTTTGGAGTCATTTTTGCCTTTCTGTAAAGAGTACAGCAAAGAACTAACAGGACATGAGGGAAAAAAGGGGGATAACAACCAGGGATCTCACAACCACATGGTCAATTTCCCAAACCATACAACCAAGACACCCCACGTCCTTTAAAAAACCTACATCCAATGTGCCTTTCTTCTTTTATCCTTGGGTAATTGAAGTTATCTTTACATTTTTCTTACTTCTTTGACTTATAGGTCATTAACAATGGCTCTCCTTCTCCATACCTTTTATGCAATTTATTCACTGACTTTATTATGTGTAGTAAATCATTTTGTAACAGTTGCTTAGAAATGCATTGTATAAGAGTTTTTTTTATTCATCAGTATGTTCATTCACAGAGTTGTGGATTTAAATAGTTCTTTTTATTCAGCACAAATCTGCCGAATGATGCTCACTGGAAAGCCTGTGAAGTCGTGATAACCACAGGTCTCCATGTTTAGTTTAGCACTCTACGCTCTGACTGGATTCATCAGACATTGTGATAAGGAGGTGAGGCTTAGTGTGTGTGTGTGTGTGTGGGGGGGGGGTTTGTGAGTGTGTTCTCTCTCCTCGTCCTGCCAGCCCATCTGACAAGCCCTCCAACTATTTACGAGCTCAGCCGATTCCTGCCTCACTTCATTAGCCCCGGCTATGAGACTGTTGCTAAAATTAGTCCCCTGTGCAATGTGTAGCCCCTCCAACACTGACACACACACACCCCTTCCACCTACACCCACACCCACACAAAAAAAAACACACACACACACACACACACACACACACACACACACACAGACACAGACACAGACACAAAGACCAGAAAACCTTTCCACTGCCAAGTCATGTTTTCCTAATGTCCCTGATCCAAATGTTGTTCTGTAGACCCCACAGTGCTGTTAGTCGATACTAAAACGATCTGCCAGGAAGGCCTACTTTCTCTTCCACACACACACACACACACACACACACACACACACACACACACACACACACACACACACACACACACACACACACACACAGGATGAACACACACAGAAAACATGTGGAAGTTTGACTTGTTAGGATGACGTACTGAAGGAAGATAAACTTTTTAGTTCATGGAAAACATTATGTCATCGAGATATTCATGGCTTTGGCATTTAATTCCTGCTAAAGATATTAACCCTTTCAATCTCCTCTCCTTCTTTTCTCCTCCAGGCGTTGTGTGGCTGCACAGTTAGCATTCCCACACTGGAAAACCGCATCATCTCGCTCCCATGCCATGACATCATCAAGCCAGGGACGGTGAAGCGACTCAGAGGGGAAGGCCTGCCTTTCCCCAAGAATCCATCACAGCGCGGTGACCTCATCGTGGAGTTTTCTGTCCGTTTTCCCGACAGGATCCCCCCGCAGTCCAGAGAGATTATCAGACAACACCTCCCCCAATCATAGGAAGACTCACCTTTAACCCACCACCACACACTCCAGACTAAATGGCCCAAACCCAGAAAACCATCCGTTAATACTCCTTTATAGCTCATATTTTGACCCTCATTGTAGTTTCCCTTACCACTTCCAGTCCCCCGTGTCCTGCGTTAATGCACGCAGCATTAAACAGACGCTGTTGTTTGTAGGGACTTCGCAGTGGGAGGATGAGGGAAGAATTCCAAGATGAATGGCAGTATCAGGATGAAATTATTTGTGTTTGTTTTGTCTTTTGGCCCAAGCACGCACACAAGCACCCGAGCAGTGGAGCGGTGCTGAGGATGGGCTCAGCACAATCGTGTCTTTTACCGGATTGTCTTTTCTTAACTCTGTTTTTTACGGATTTATCAGTGGTTTTATATGCCGTCCAACTCTCTGATCCTCGTCTTTTTGTGATAGGATGAAGCGCGACATATTTTTTAAAAGAAACATTTTTTCCAGGATTTTCTTTTCCAAAGGAAGTTTCAAATAGGATTATTTATTTCTACCTTGAGTGTACCAGCAGCTTCAGTGTGTTCAGTGCAAACCCCGGTTTTAACATAACCACCTGCTTTTCTCTTGCTTTCAGTCTGATAAAGCATTGTGCTTGAAGTCTGTAGGCCGTTTACTGTTTATTAAGATCTGTCTCCCCCAAAATCAGTTGTATTGTATCTTGATGCGTGCAATGCCACAGAGCACTTAAAGTCCCGCATTACTCCAAATAATAATAGCGTATCTCAGCTGTATTGGAAAATCTGGGAATGACAATCACATACTGTAACAGCAGTGTAAGCTTGGATAATACACTCTGCACATAATATGGGTGCTTTCCCTTCTGAGCTGTGTGGCTCCTCTGAACTTAATAGCCTGGCTCACTATCTGAGGGACATTTAGGTGCCTTAGCCCGGTGTCATACCACATATGTGAACACACACACACACCCACACAGGTCACACTGTAATATATACAACCAGCCATGCTAAGTGCACAACAGACGATGCCCTATGCTGTGTTAGACATTACCATTGGGAGCTGGTGATCATGGAAAAACAGTATGTAAGCAATGTAAAGTCAGTCACCATGTTGTACTGTATGTAAACAAGGACATTTTTAGGGAGGGATTTGATACAAAACGGATGAGTTCTTGCCAATGTATCCCTGTAAAGTGCCGTACAAGTACAGGCTGGATTTCCCAGAGGAACGTAAGCATAAAGTTAATCTGAAGTTCATAGTAAATAGATTTCTCTGGGAAACCCAGCTTTTTTTGTGTATATTCTGCTTTCTCTTGTGCCATTTGAAGGCAATGTCTCGGTGCTACTGTGAGCAGTGCCAAAAAGTAGACTCCCTTGGTGTCTACTTTTTGGTTTCATGGAGTCCTCAGTTTGTGATTTGATAACTGCTTCAGTCATCTGTAACATCTGTACATTGAATCTGTTTTTTCAGTAGAAAACCCCTGTTTAGGAAACAGGTTTTGTAAAATTGCAGCAGCTGTTCTCTGTGTCAGCTGCAGGGGGCTCTGAAAGCTCCCTGAAAGCTCTTCCTACTGTAGTTTACAGCAATGATAAGATGTATGTATGAGTATGGTTAATGCAGATAGCCCTGGTAGGTCATATATATCATGTGTATGGGGAAATGTTTGAATGCAACATGTTGATAAATGCACTTTTATGTCATAGAAGATACAAAACTATGAGATGATAGGGGAGACTTGAATGACTTGTCTGAGTGCGTGGGCGCCCTGCCTCTCAGAGCCTCCCGGGACGCTGGACTGTGGCTACAACCAGAATGCACATGTGCTGCTGCTGAAAGACTGTCACTGCTAATGTGCATTCGACAATATTTATGATCTTTTCAAAGTGGCAACAAATAAACCAAATGTGTGAACTTAACTTTTTGTGTCAACTGAGTTTGTCTTTCAAGAATTATCAGCAAATATAACTTTGATGTGGTGTACACCTCAGATTTTCACCGTAATGAGTATGTTTACATGCACATTAGTATCCTGGTTGTGATCCTGTTTTTTTGCTGACGTTCACATTTAAGATGAGAAACTTTGTTATTCATGTCTCTATATACATCATTATATCTATGTCCAGGTCTCTGATGATCTGAAGTCTGAAGTTATTTCAGCATGTTAATCATCAAATCATTCACTATCCTATTTATTTGTTTTGCCATGTAACTTGAGTTGACACCACACCAGCAGACGCGACAGAGAATGATCAGAAATGAGGTGTTTGTATAACCAGAATACTATTAGACCCCTATCTGAATTGGGAAATAGTGCACATGTAAATGCACTCATTCTTGGTGGTGGAAAGTAACTTAGTACTGACACAAGTACTGTCTAGTACAATTTTTCTAGTACAAACTTTCACTTTGCTTGAGTATTTCCTTTGTATGCTACATTACTTCTATATATTGTACTGCATTGTACAGACAGGCTATTTATAGTGGATTGTACATAAGAAACATGTGATACGCTTAGAAAATACTGCTGGAAAATAACTTACCATTACAAAAAAAATACAGTTAGCAGTTCCACCAAGCAGAGATTTTCCCTCTAGACTTATAACATGTTTAATCTTAATAACTGTTTGAGGCCCCCGAAAGGTCCAATTAGCCAATATTTAATTCGAGAAAAGTCAAAAAAATGAGTACAGACTTCAGGAGCGGAACTTTTTTTCTTCTTTCCTGCCCTATTAATCATCCCCCGACCCCTCAGATTTATCTTGTGTCCCTTGGAAGGGGACCCCTAGGTTGGGAACCAGTGGACCAAACAACCAAACTGTATGAAAAGTAGTTAAAACTAGCTCCATCTCACCCAGCTACAGCACTAAAATGCTGCTTATACATGGATGCATCAGTATTAAAATGTCATTCACAGGGTCAATTTTGTTGCAGATAGAGTGCTTTTTACTTTTAGTTAAGTAGGATTTAACTTGTGATGGAGTATTTATACATTGTTTTATTGGCTCTATTGCTTAAGTAAAGCATCTGAATACTACTCCACCACCGCGATCACCCCCTTGTGATCATGCATGCAGGGATTTGAATAACCAGATTTCTCATGTTCTAAACATTATCCTAAATGTGATCAGTAAGACTCAAAACTGAGGTACTAATGTGCATTAAAGGAGGTAAGAAATCATTCTTTATAATCTTGTGTAATTAAACATTGGTAATATATGTTTAGCTGTGTGCTATTTCAGAGAGTACAGTGGAGTTTGGACATTTTCCATCAGTTTGAGTTACAGATAAACAACTGAAGGCAGACTTTGACCTCAGCCTGTTAAAATCCAGATGGACTAACCCTTAGCTGATCACTGACCCATCTACCAGAGCAACCCAAGGTAAGAAAAACAAAGAGACTTTAATTTACTTTAATTTCTGTACCATTTCCCGTCTGTGTTAGAGCATTAATCACTTACACACTGTCCTGCTGCCGGGTCAGGAGGCAGTCAGGGGCAGGTGATCTGTGTTAAGAGACTGATCATGTGAAACAACTGAATGTGAGTGTGTATCACATGGTAAGGATATAGCAGACAATTAGTGAACCATGGGAAGGCTCAGAGATGTGCTGCAGTAGCACCACACTGTGACTAATCCCATATACCTGTATCAGCTATTTCTAGCAATAAGGCTGGGTTCGCAGAGGGTTTATACTTCCAGCTCAGAGGGGAAAGAATAAATAAGAAAAAGCAGGTCATCGACTGATGCTTTGTGTTGCTTTGTAGGCAGAATTTCTGTCTACATGTATCATGGCAAATGTGAAAAGCTTTGGAGTTTATATGTACACACACAACCCCTGCTGCAGCACAGGAGTTAATGAATTCAGATGTGAGTGTGAATCAGTAACAAAGTATTAGGACTTAGTCATGGTGACTGGGTCCAGTTCCATAGCAGTCTTATATGTGACACCTCACACACTTCTCTGTCACCATCTTTCTTTCAGCAGGTCCTCAGAGTTGAAACATGAGCACCTTTGTGACTCTCTCATCAGGGCAGAGGATGCCTGTGGTCGGACTCGGCACATGGAAGAGCGCTCCAGGACAGGTAGAACTATAAACCCTTTGTTTGTTGAGACCAACCACGTTTCTGGAAATGTGTTAAACGATAAAAAACAAGAAGTGTTTGGACTGTGTTTGTGTGTTCTCAGGTGAAGCAGGCGGTGCTGGCAGCTTTAGACTGTGGGTACAGACACATTGACTGTGCTGCTGCATACAGCAATGAGCAGGAGGTGGGAGAGGCTCTGGCTGTCCGGGTCGGTCCTGGGAAGGTGAGAAACGGTGGTTTCAACCTAAATTAGACAGTGATTTTAACAGTTTATTCTTGAACTTGGAACCTGCAGCTGACAAAATAACCTCAACTCAACCCACTTGCTTACTTGCTCTGGTGATTTCAACTGTATCACCAGTGTTGGGCAGTAACTCATTACTAATAATAATCTTACTTTCCCCAGTTAATAGTAGCGTAACTAATTACTAATACATTTCAGTAATAATATTACCAAAAAAATAATTAGTTACAACATTACTTTTGTTGGCACCCCCCTACTAATTTAAAATCCAACAATCCAATCACATCCTTGGATTAATCATGAAGGAAATTAGCTTGGAAGATGGAAACCCTTATTTTCAGTGGCTGGAAATATTTGCATTACTTTGATTTTAACAAATAAAACACGATTTTAAGTCAGAATTTTAGGGAGAAGTGACACAGTTACCAATTTTGTGGGGAGTAGCAGAAAAGTAACTTCTTCTTAGTTACTAGTAGTGTAAGTAATTACTGTTGGCAGGTAATAAGTAAAGTAATAATATTACAGAAAAGATTAATGAGTAATAAATTACATTTTTATGGTTAAAAGCTCCAGAACAAGTATGTAGACTTTGAGTTAAGTTTATTGTCAACTTAATTTACATTGTTTAATGTTAAAAAAAATTAACTATTTTTTAAAATAATGAATTAAACAGTTGCTTATGACTTGTCAGTAGCAAGTCTACTGACATGAGCCCTGATTCAGAGCTTACAACAGTGAAACAGAGTCAACAGGGACGCTCCTGTGGGTTCAGGTGTTAAGCCGCTGACCGGAACTGCAACGTCTACAGTTTAAGTCCAGCTGGAGAACTTTTGTTAAATCTCTGTCCTTCATTTCCTGTCATTTCTACACTGAAGAAATCAAATAAGTGCATTAAAAATGCTCAAACAGAGTCAACATCAATACAGATATTCTGTTTCTGAGAGTGGGGTTTAGGATTAACAAAGGGTTCAAGGTTGGAATTGGAGTTTAGTATACAGTCTAGGTCAAAGTTGCCCGAGTCTAGAAACATTTTCACGATACACCTGGACTGCTCTGTCTCTGATTCAAGCATTTTAACCATCAGGCTTTCCCCTGAATTGAGAAGTGAATGGTTATATACCCAGTATCGTTTCCCCTCCAGGCTCTTCGTCGTGAGGAGGTGTTTGTAACATCCAAACTGTGGAACACCAAACATGACCCAGAGGATGTTGAGGAAGCATGCAGGACCAGTCTGGCTCACCTGGGTCTCTCCTATCTGGACCTGTACCTCATGCACTGGCCCATGGCATTTCAGTGAGCAGCTGCACACAATAAACTGATTTTGGCGCCCCGTGTTTGTCACTGTGTGGATCAGTCAGCTGAGAATCCTGTGTGTGTGTGTGTGTGTGTGTGTGTGTGTGTTTCAGGCGGGGGAAGGAGCTGATGCCTCGACGGGAAGATGGAAGTATTTGTTACTCTGACACACACTACAGAGATACTTGGGCAGCCATGGAGAGCCTAGTGGACAAAGGTCTGGTCAAAGCTATAGGACTGTCCAACTTCAACGCCAGGCAGACTGACGACATCATCAGCATAGCCAGACACACACCTGTGGTGAACCAGGTACAACGTGGCTTTCTCATGGGCCATAATTAATACATTTAATAAGGTTTTATTGGGAATAGTGAATTTTAATTTTTTTAAAAACTGTCAAATTGTGTGCCACAGGTGGAATGCCATCCTTATTTGTCTCAAGCAGATCTCCTGTCTCACTGTCGGTCAGTGTAATTTAACACATTATCCAAACAATTTATTTTATTTGAGGTCAATTCCATCAATTATTGTTCCTTCTGCCTCAGGTCAGTGGCCGTTTGTGTGACAGCCTACAGTCCTCTGGGCAGCGGGGACAGACCCTGGGCCTCTCCTGATGAGCCGAGTCTGCTACAGGATCCTAGACTGGCAGCTATCGCCCAGAGATACCAGAAAACACCTGCCCAGGTCATACTCAGGTACTGTAAGACACAAACTACAGAGTAACCAAACCCTGACATCTTTGACAGCTGCTTCACTTTTCGGTGTCCTTTTCGGCAGGTGGCATGTGCAGAGGGGTGTCGTGTGTATCCCTAAAAGTGTGACACCCTCCAGGATCCAGCAGAACCTGCAGGTGTTTGACTTTTCCCTGTCAGAAGATGACATGAAGCTGATTGAATCTTTCAACCGCAACGAGCGCTTCATCGTACCGGCCGTCAAGGTGAGTCACTGATCTTATGACACCTCAGGGCGTCTTTCCCAAGCAAAGTGCATATAATACCAATGACCTGGGTCTATGTACATACAGCAGCCATCTCAGTCCAAAATTAACTTATAGACTCACTGATGACACCACATGGTTGAAGCATCAGCCTGTTTTAGAGCTCCATAAATCTTTGTGCGTGCTGGGCTATATAGATTGAGTCAAACGTCCTGACCAGTGTGGATTTCTATGTTGTATACAAACGCCTTATATAGTTATGTGAGTGTAACTGTTTGTTTGTTTTACAGAGGGATGGGAAGAGTGTGTGGAGAGATGCAGAACATCCCCATTTCCCCTTCCACGATCCTTACTGAGTCTACACACAAGGAATTCAACATTGTGTATTTAAAGATAATTATCACATACGCTGAAACCAAATTTCTTAACTGAAACATGATCCAAAATTTACAGATTACAAATTTTCCTTTTTGGGTTCTATAGATTTAATTTAATAATATTGTTTAATTAATATAGTGACTACAATTGTTAAGAAAATTGCTTAAAAATGGTTTCTCTTTACTGAGATTGCAGTGAAGAAAACAAAGATTGTTCCATTGCTTTCACTTTTCTTTCACTGCCAGGGTGACACTATGTGGTCAGTAACAGAACTGCCTCTCTGCCCAATGTCAGTAGCTTTGGTCACATGACGCCAGCATGTCTTACAGAGTGAGACACTCTTTCAAGGGTAAATCATCAATGAATCACTGCAGCAGCACTGCTCTGCCCTGCCCTTTTCAGAGTACAGAAAATAAAATGCACAACAAAACAGAACTCTCGTATCTCTCTCTCTCTCTCCCTCCCTCAGTGTTTGACTGTCTCAACTGTAAATCAAATTAGGCAAAAACAATTACATGACAAACAAATGTGGATCATTACTGTCTGCAACATTATAAAATGTAAATAATCCCCTATGAAATGGATTTCACCATGTTAATTATACCTAAAATACACAACATTAAGGAAGAGCCGTGTGTAGGATTTAGTTAGAATACAGGTCCCACTTTCAAGCCTGAAGGAGAAACTACAGCGGCCACGAAACTCAAGAAGAACGCAAAAGCTAAACATAGAAACGTCTCAGTCTAATGAAAACAATTGGTGATTACACACTAATTAAAACAGACCGATGAATAACATATTCCATTTCTGCAAACAGACCCTCCCAAATTGTTACACACTGGACCTTTAAGATCTTTGAAAGATTACAGATAACCCTGAATCCCACAGAACGTTCATTAACTCTATCAATAAAAGAAGTTTCAAGCAGACACTGATAACACTTCCATTTCGTGAGATTTTATTTTCAACAACATAACCTTGACAAATTTGTAATACATTATATGCTACTGTTTATTTAAAAAAAAAAAAAGGAAGTCATTAGCAATATGTTTTTTTCTTTTCTTTCTTATAGTCTAGCATAGAATCCCGTCACTAAAGCCATTCATGTTGGTTGTGATATACTGAGAATGAGGCCACTCAATAACGCCCTTCCCACCCCTCCCTCCCTCCCCAATCTGCATCAGTCACTCACCTTCCAGTTCCAACATCCCCTTACCCCCACCCACATCAAAGCCAGGGTAAACCAAGCGGCTACATGCTTTCTCCGAGGGAAGTCATACAAAAAAAAGGAACACATGAAAGAAGCACAAAGTCCTAAAAATGTGGAATCTGGTGAGAATTTGTACAGGTGTGATCCCAGTACTGACCACTGTGGGGCAGTGTACATTTATCCATAAAGGTCATCGTCGTTATCTTCATTGAACACTGGGCCACTGCCAGTTCCTCCTGAGCCATGGCTTGGGCCGCTGCCACCTGCAGCACTGGAAGGGAACCTGAAAGAGAAAGGAGAGACTCATTTACCATTTTAATAGGGGGATTCTTCTATGACTATAGAAGTATTTATGTCAGTTTTAGTACTTTGGAGGTAATAACGTGATCTTCAATAGTCAGTTATTCTATCCGACTAATATGAAGCTTTTTACAGACATCTTACTGCAAGTGGCCCAGCTCAAATTTAACTCCAATATGGCTGCCAATCCAAACAGAAGCTCATTAGCAGAGGAGGTGATTTAGTGTAACAACTCTGCAGAGAGAATGACACTCCACCCTCATGGTGTCACTCACTCCACTCATGCCAAGGCAAAATGTCAGAAAAAGTACCTGAAGCTGCCAAAACCACGGCTCTGCTGCAGTGTCTGAGCAAACATCTCATATTTGCGAATGTCGTTGTCACTGACGGAGCGACGAGCGAATCGCATTGCCTCCTCAAAGTGGTCCTTCCTGATCTCTGGCACAGGATCATCCTCCTCCACCTCCTAGAAAAAAAACACATAGAAAGGAGTGTTATTAACACAAAATATCTGAAACAGAGCAGTAGTGTGCAGATGTACATAAAGTAAACAAGGGGACAGAACAAGTCCTGACCATGGCTGATGGGTTGGTCTGCCTCTCCCTCTCTCTGCGGATCTCATTCTCGATGCTCTCTCTGATGGCCAGCTTACACGCCCGCTGGCAGATCTCTGTAAGATCTGCTCCAGAGAAGCCATTGGTCATCTTTGCCAAGAAGTCCAAGTCCACATCCTATAAACAAACAAATTACAAAATGATGGTATTTTGATTCTCTTACGACTAAATTCTGATGAAGTTTATCAGAATAACAATTTGTGTAAAGCTGCCACCTCATTTTAATATGTTTGTGCAACTATGAGTAACAGCACCTTGCTGATGGGGCTCTTGCGGAGGTTGGCTTTCAGGATGCTCATCCTGCTCTTCTCGTCGGGCAGGGGGATGTAGATGAGCTGATCCAGACGACCAGGTCTCAGGATGGCAGGGTCAATGATGTCTGGTCTGTTTGTGGCTCCAATGATGAAGACGTTCTTCTTGCTGGACATTCCATCCATCTCGGTCAGGATCTGGTTGATGACACGGTCGGCTGCTCCACCGCCATCTCCCACGTTGCCGCCACGGGCCTTGGCTATGGAGTCCAGCTCATCAAAGAACAGAACGCATGGGGCTGCTTGACGAGCCTAGAAACATCACACAGATTAATAAAATGGTCTTACAAAACAAAGTATAAATTAAATCTGTAGAATGAAATTAGTTGCAAACATTGAAGCATGTGGTTGTTCTGCAGATTAAATATTCCAGATCCATCCACTCTGCACTAAAGTTATATTACAGACACCTTAAAAACATCCTTACCTTGTCAAAGATCTCTCTGACGTTGGCCTCAGACTCTCCAAACCACATGGTGAGCAGCTCAGGTCCTTTGATGGAGATGAAATTTGCCTGGCACTCATTGGCGATGGCTTTGGCCAGCAGAGTCTTACCACAACCAGGGGGACCATAGAACAGCACACCCTTGGATGGGGTCATGCCAAACTTGAGGAACTTGTCTGGGTGCTCGACTGGGTACTGAATTTAAGGAGAGGAGAAAAGCACAGGAAGAGAAAATGTTAACTTTTCTAGATACACCCTCTTCAGTTAAGTTCAGATCTTACTTCTGGAAGCGCTTCATACCTGCACCAGCTCCTGCAGCTCCCTCTTGACATCATCCAGACCTCCGATGTCCTCCCAGCTGATGTTGGGAACCTCAACAACTGTCTCCCTCAGTGCAGATGGGTTGCTCTGGCTCAGGGCCCACTGCAGGACAGGGTTGAACATGTTAGTAAGGGCTCAGAAGGCCAACATAAGCCCATACACAAGAGACCATATTACAGTTCTTACCTTGAAGTCATCCATAGTGACAGCAAGTGAGTTCATGACTTCAGCATCAATGGTCTCATCCTCAAGGTCGATCAGGTCCATCTTCTTCCTGATGGCCTGCAGGGCAGCCTCAGAGCAGAGTGCAGCCAGATCTGCACCCACATGTCCATGGGTCTCATTGGCTACCTACATAAAAAGATACAAAGAGCACTATGATACTTTCCTGTCCATTATCCTACACATACAGCTTTATTAAATATAACCATGAACACCACTACTGCAGTGCAGTAAATCTAAATATGACAATGCATTATTATTGTGTATCCATTTACTGTTTGTTTACTAATGAATGTCTGTTATGTAGAATTGCTAATGTTGAGATAAAGCAACACACTGGATGCTGCACAGTCTGGGCAAGAGTGATATACAAGAAGTGAAGGAAGGTAAAACTGTAGCACCTAATTTGACAACTTAATAGTAAAATACAATAAATATTTACATTCTGTCTGATTACATCAAGTAAACAATTAAAAATTAAATTAAGTTTCCTGAGTAATTTACTAGGAAGTTACATGCAATAATAACCACATGACTTTACTTTCTTATCAGGGAAGCAGTAATTATCCTGCAGTCAGGTGACACCACACAACACAATGTGTACAGACCTGTTCCAAGTCAACATCATCAGCCAGTTTCATGTTCTTGGTGTGAATCTGGAGAATTTCCAACCTGCCAGTGGCATCAGGAATGCCGATGTCCACTTCCCTATCAAAACGCCCTGGAGGTGATGGGGTTCAAACACACTTATTAGTTCCAATTTACAGATACATACTAGACACACCTTAATAAACTTAAGAGCACAGCCTGCTGAGACGTATTGCTTCCTCTCTGTGTGATGGCAGAAGTAACATGTCATATGAGCAGCAAAAATAAGTCTACGGTTTAAAAAGCATTAGTATTAGATGAATAAGCAATTCCAACCCTTTGTTAAGGCTGTTAGAAACACCCCATTACCCAAGCAGAACACCTTTATGCTAACAAATGCTGCTACAATTTTTATGACTTTTACCACTGTTACCACTTTATCCAATTGCTCCTTATCACCTACTTAGTTTGTATTTATTTTATTTCAATTTATGCTGCTAAACTGCACAGTGCGTATTGTTGTATATACCTAGGTTTAACTGCAATTTTTGTTGCATTTTGTCACATTTAGTTAATTGTTTGATTTATTTTTTTAGCCTTTATTTTATGTTATGTAAGCTTATTTTTACTCTAACCCTGTATTACTTTACCACCTTTGTATTGAAACTGTTGCCCAGTAATTTCCCTCGGGATAAATAAAGCTTCTTGAATCTTTATAAAACTGGTACTGCACAGCGTTGTGAGAAACTGACCCACTAGTGACCTGCAGAGCCCACAAAATAAACAGCAGCCAGCAGTTTTAATCAGTGATATGACAACATGCTTTAGTGAGCGACACAGAGCAGCTTCAAGTTATATAAACGAAGACTGAGTCTATTGTACTGACATTTAAGGTACACCTCTTTCTACTAAGTAAAATGTATCTATATAGTGCTTTTCACAGACTTAAGTCACCAAGTGCTTTACAGTGGCAACATACAACATTTAAAAAAAAAAAAAAAAAAAGGTACAATACAAGACAGAATAAAAATACACAATGCATAAATAAAATGCAGTCATGGTGCACACAGGTAACCCGAACTCCTTTCTAAACAGGTATTTCTTTAGCTGCCTTTTGAAAGAATCTGCGAATCCACAGACAGTAAGGGCATTCCACAGCTGCTACTGCCTCAAAACTCAACCACCTCGGGTCTTAAGGCAAGTGTATGGGATACAGCGAATTTAGCACATTTTACCTAAGGGAGCTAGCCGATATGGTGCAGTAGTTCAGCTACAGGAGCCTGACTGAAATGCTCTGTAAGAGTCAGAATTTTTAAACTGGACCCTATAGGCAACAGATCTAAGTATAGGGGGTAACGTGAGCCGTCTGTTTGAGCTAGTGGGTAGTCGTGCTGCAGCGTTCTAGGTCGCCTGCAGGCGATTAA